ATTGGGACTTTTTTTTTTTTTTTTTCCCCCTGTTCAGTGAATAAGATGCAAAGAATAAAACTAATTTATGTAAAATACAATAAAAATAATTTATGTATATATGAACAAATAGTTCACATATACTGTATATATAGTTCACGGATCACTACACTTATAACTATAATGGTAATTGTCTGTAATCTCTCTTATGATTAAAATTCAATTTAAAATTCTAACAGAGACTGGTAGATACTGGTTACATTTCATATTCATATTCCAGTCATAATTAACAAGTACCGGTCAACCTAAAATTACAAGATGAAGAAATGTAGCGTGTTTAGGACCATTATGATTTTTTTTACACTGTGACATTATTTTCATGACAGTTTTATGACAAAGTATATTTCCACCCTAAATACCAATTCTGTAATGCAAAAAAAAATAAGAATAAAAAAATTACATTTACATAATAGTGATACAAATAATTTCTGAACCACATTATTATATTATATTATACAATGTCACAAAAATACTTGTAGTGCCACCAAATCTGTTGTTCTAGCGGTTGCTAAATGTTATTTTTATGAAATGTTATTTTATGATATGATTTTGGTTTTCTTGACCAATTCTGTTCTTCTTTTTTCTGTCTTTATCAAATGTAGATCTTTGCACCAAGTGAGACCTTATATTACACTGCGCCTTCTCTGAGACTCAAAAAAGGCCCATACACCTGTGATCAACCTGCCATCTGTTACATCACTGAAAAACAACAACATTAGTGACTATAGTTAATAAAATAGCTATTAAAAAAAAAACCTTATAAGGCAGCTATTCCTCAGGAAACAAAAAACTGTGACCTTTGACCTCCGAGGCAGCCATGTTCCAGCGGTTCACCAGTTTGTTCTTTGGAAGCGAAGAAGTTACTCCAGATCTGAAGGGACCGAAGCCCTGTGTGTCTGAGGCTGATGAAGAGGGATGGCTCCTGGTCAATCTGCACGGTGAGTGTCCTACACAAACAACGTAAAACACTGTCTTTAATGGGAAATACATTTATACAGATCACAAAATAAAGGCAAGGAGTAAATTATATGCATGGTAGTTTCAAGTCTGAAGAGTATGTCGGGGTAACAAGGCAACAATCTACTGTATGTAGTGGATTAATATAAATATATTAATTTTGAAAACATCAGCTTGGTTCCAAAACCTAGTGAACTGCCTAAGGCAGCTATATCTTCTGAGGCCACATCACAACCACCACAGAACCTGGTCTGAAATGTTTTTATATTGCCAGCAACTGTTTTTTCAGTCACGTATAAAAAGCACAAAGGAATCAAATGCTAACATGATACTCTAAGGCCCAAAACATACTTTATGTGAGTATGTAAACATAAACACTTCTAGCTACACATGCTCAATTTTGTGTGTTGTTGAGTTCCAAAATGTGCCAGACTGCAATTAATAACGCAAAGAATGCAAATGGTGCTATAATGTGCATTAGCATAATTAACCAGATCAACTACCATCATAGTCCGAAACCGCATACTGTCTAGTAAATACTATATTTGATTTGAAAGAATTAAAAAAATTTCTATATAGTCTAAATATGAGTAGTATGAATATAATTCGGATGTACTACAGCCACCATGTTGTCACTGTCACATGACCTACCAGCGTCAGTTGTGTGCCATTCACAACTCCTCTCTTCATAGTAAAGTGGACATCAAATGCACACTCCAGAACCTCTCTGGAAAGTAGTAGGCCATTCGAGCGCAGCAGTTGCTTATTTCTAAGCAACTGTCAACATGTTTATAACTACCTGAAATAATAGCCTGGTTTAATGAACAGGCATTCAAAGGTAACTCTATCACCCTCTTGAGATCTGAGTTTTGTTACTCCCACAGGACATAAGTAAGGTGAAGTGTGGAATTTCAGTGCCAATCTCCCCTTATATTAGCCATTATTCCCGACAGTCCCATCCGACTGTGCCAATGGTTGAGCCAGTGTTGCTATACTGGTTCCAATTGGGCCTTTCGGACTTTTACTAGAAATTACACATATCCCTTTTGCAATGCTGCACATGGCGTCTCACTACGTTTTGGAACAAAGTCGCTGAGACTTTATAAAGTAATACATGGTGATAATGATATTTTAAAAGGGTTATAAGACACTAATGGCAGTATTCCTATTTTCTATATTTTTCTGTATCCCTTCTCATTTGTCCATATTTGAATGAATTCCTTTTTTTGGTATGTGTGCTCATGGTACTGGCATCCCCCACTCGCATGGCTTCAACCAAACCTTTCATATTCTGGAAACACACCCTGTTCTGTCTTCTGTCACTTCCTACTTCACTGAAGGTGAGGATGGGCCAGAGGCAGCTTCAGTAGCATGTGCCCGTCCCCGCAGTGAATGTCATGCATCTCAGATATGCGGCCCCTCTCCTCCCACCTGCAGAAACCGCAGGACTAGAGCAAGCAGAATACAGGCAGCACATCCTTCCTTCCCTTCCATCAGCTCTCCTCCTGATCCCGCCTCCTTCTCTCACCTTGAGTCAGTAGAAGTGAATGTGTTCTTAAGCGAGCGGGGCTCAAGCTCCTGTAGTGACTGCAGCATGGATGAGAGCTGGTTTGTCACCCCTCCCCCCTGTTTTACTGCAGAGGGAGCCACAGCGGAGGCTAGCCCCATGGAGGACCTCCTCATCGAGCACCCCAGCATGTCCGTGTACGTCTCAGCTGGCCCTCTCCCAGTGGAAGAGAGCACCACCAGCCTGGCTGGCAGTGTCAGGTAAATTTCACTTCTGCTGTTTGCATTCTTTTCTGCAGTGAGATTTCACTTAGTTTCTGTTATTTATGTAAAACAAATGACAAAATGTATTGTTGTAACAATTGGTTAGGACAAAAACATGGAAGGACTAATGCTGGGGTGTCCAATCCTGTTCCTGGAGGGCCAATGTCCTGCAGAGTTTAGCTCCAATCCCAATTAAACACACCTGAACCAGCTAATCAAGGTCTTACTAGGCAAACTGGAAACTTCCAGGCAGGTGTGTTGAGGCAAGCTGAAGCCAAACTCTGCAGGACAGTGGCCCTCCAGGACCAAGTTTGGACACCCTGGACTAACACATCTTTATTACTTGCTGACATTGGACATTTTGTTGAGCCTATTTCAGGGGTCTTAGGAGTTTTGCTCCAACCTTAATCAGAAAAAATCTGCATTCGTGTCATATCCTGAGATATTTTCATCTGATTGATTTTTGAAGGCAGCATAGATGTATCCTTCGCTGCACCTTTGATATCCCACAATCCTATGCATTCGATTCCGTCACAATTGAGCTAAAAATAAAGATGGCATCTGAAAGTTCTAGTTAGTTTGTTTAAATGTATGTTTTTTTCCAACTTTTTCCACTTTTGATGTCATTCTAGCAAGAAATGAGTACTGTAGTAATTAAATATTTGCTTAGTTATTACAAAAGCTCTTTCTGTTTTGCTGTAGATCATTAAACTATTATGCTACCTCAGAAGCCCATCCAAAATCAGTTTCGGAAGGTACCTTTGTTCATAAATGCTGTCATGCAATCAGCTTTCGGACGTAGCCTTTAAGAAATTCACATATTATAGGACCACCTGGTGGACAATTTTTAAAAAATTTGGTACACTGCCTCTAAAACGTGCTCTGCACAAATATTCTCAATATCAAAAAGATCAGACATTCCCGATAGAAAATATAGGCCAATTGAAAATATTGGCTGTTGATAACCATTTTTGTTCAACTATAAACCAATGTATTCAAAATCTGTATATGATTAATATTGTAGGACAAGTGTCCAAACCTGTTCCTGAAAGGCCACTGTCCTGCAGAGTTTATCTCCAACCTGAACAAAGGCTGTATCCGAAATCGCCCACTATACCCTTATTCACTGTTCCCTACATTAGGCCACTAATACAGTTCACTTGAAGGAGTGAATAAAAACGAGTGAGTGAGTGCACCAGAAGGACTGCCGCTTTTGCATAGTTTGTGCTTGCTCTTTAATAATCATTTAAAACTGGCAGCTCCAGTAGTAAGATTAAAGGATGTATCTTGAACTCTGTAATGGAAATTATGCATAAACCCTAGTTCAACAATATAATAATCAATTTACAATGAATTTATACCTGTGTTGTATTACACTGTATTATGCCATGGACGAGCGTTTTGTAAAATGAATGGATGGATGATTCAGCTGCGGGCGCCTTCTTCTGGCGAGACGCGGGAATTCATTCAGCGTGCGACTCTCACAGTGCATTATGGGTATTCTCTAGCCGTTGAGCGTGCACCGGTTGTACACTCGGTGCATTGTGGGACTGAATGACTGCATGCGAGAACATCCACTATTGTTTCGGACACCACTACAAATGGCTGTCCCCTCAAATAGGGCCCAATTTAAAGATATAGGGTGCAATTTCAGATAGAGCCAAACTAATCATGATCTTCAGACTTACTAGAAACTTCCAGGCAAGCGTGTTGGTGCTGGTTGGAGCTAAACTCTTCAGGATGTTTGCCCTCCAGGAGCAGGTTTGGACACCTCTTTTGTAGGATTTGTCAGCAAGGGTGTACAATCCTGGTCCTCAAGGGCCTCCTGCAGAGTTTATCTCCACCCCCAATTAAACACACCTGAACCAGATAATCAAGGTGTGTTGGGGCGAACTGGAGATAAACTCTGCAGGACCTTGGCTCTCCAGGAGCAGGTTTGGACACCCCCAGTCTCGCGTAGCCAGACCTTCAGACTGACGGCTGAAGGTCTGGAATCCATGGCAACTTTCTTTGGTCAAGGCCCGCCCATGAGGCCGTTTGACCGACATGTGAAACAACCAATCACAGTTCGTTTCATTCAGCGGCACATTTCGGGGCGTGGAAATGTCACCACAATAACAGAACGGTGTGTAAAACTCTCGGACGTATTTTAAAGATTCTGTGCCGCGAACTTTAAATATTTCACATACTTTTGAGAATCCAGTGTTTAGTTGATCCTGATAAGCGCTTGTCGTCACAGTTGTAAACACGACGGCTTTCTTCTTTCGTGAGGGGGTTTGGCGTCACGGCATCTTTGTTTCCAGGCGGAACCTTATAGAATGCGACACACGTCTCCCGGAAATCCTGTAGAATTCAACCAATCCGATGACGACTTCGAAACTCCTGAAGTGTTTCCACTTTTGTGTGCCGTATGCATCAGACGTTCAGCCAACGGTCCATGGGCATGACGTCTGAGGCTGAGACTAGGACACCCCTGACTTAAACCAAAAAAAATCATGCTGAATATCAAAAACTTTAATTCAATTGTTTCAGAGTTTTGAGGACACTGTCTTAATTTTGTCTTCCATCTTCTTTTCTTCTCATTTCAATTTCACTCCATTCTGTCCATTTGCTTCTCACTCAAACGTATCCCATTCTTCCTCCTATCTGCAATGTTCCAGCCGGATGTTTGAATCAGCAGTGCCTGCTGTGACCAGGAGCAGCATGCCCACACGGGTGACCCGAGGAGCAGCCGCACAGGCTGGAGCCCTTGCTAAAGTCACCCAGGTCTCCAGGGTCCAGAGGGCCAAAGCCCGCACTGAGCGTCGCCACCTGGCACGCAACCGCATGCAGCGACAAAACCGTGTGCGTGAACAGGTCCAATGGTGCGCGACCCACACCCGCAACTCCTTCCTGCACCAACCGTGCCAGCGCAACTTTTGCCATTGAGGCATCAAAGTTTACATTGAGGGCATTATTACACACCCCAAGAAACCCACACCTCCCAATGAATCCCCTACCTTCTTAATTGACCTCTAAAGTCCTCCTTTTGCTTTTACTGGTTTTATGTCAATAATTTTATTCAGTTTCATATTAATCAGGTTTGTTTTTGAGCACCAGCCTAAATCAGTTTCCCAGTCTGGGAGTATAGCTGAAAAGGAGACACGTGTAAACTCTGTATCTTTACATGCATCCCTCTAAATGTATAACAATGACACTTCAGGTACATTGGCACTGTTCGTTGAAATATAATCAGGTTAAATTGTCAAAAGAATGAGCCAAGCACTGAATGCTTCATAGAAACATGACCCTAAGATTTCCAGAAGAGATTCGTACCCTGCAATGTCACATTGAAAAAAAGCTACTACAGCAATGGAAGGGTCACTTAAAAACAACAAGAATGATATGTATGTAGATAAAGGTGTGAGCAAGAATAGAAACATATACAAGCAGTTGAGAGTTTGCAGAGCAAGAGAAATCTAGCGGGATATGTTTGTAAAGAGGTCATTTCAAAGTAGATGTTGCTGCCTGATTTTCAGCATAGTGGTGCTAACTTTCAAAAGTAATTCAACCCCCAAACAATTTCATTTAATTGTTTGCTATTATATGACCTCTGTTCCTAAACCTAGTGGGATCCCTATCTAGACAGCATCTAGGAAACACCTTTTATAGGTGTGCTTCCACAAAGGCAGTATCCTTCAAAGAGAAGACAGTTTCATTGAAGAAATCAATTCAAGATGGTGGAGAAAGCGGGCACTGTCAATTCTGTACATACTCTGAATGGGAAAAAATACCCCAGTGTATTTAAAAATAGATATTTTCACCCAATATTTATGTGTGCTATGAATTTGTGCTTATTAGAGTGTGGCCTTGCGCTAGCTTAGCAACATGCTAACACCAAACTCTATTGGAATCAACTGTAAGCATCAAAACTCTTGTGCACTTTGTAACTCATTCAGTACCAAAAGTATAGAAAACAGCTTAGCAACATGTTACCATCAAAATCTATTGAAGTCTATTTTAATTCATGTCTCTTGAGGCAGCTTCTTAAGGAATCTAGCTCACTAGATTTTGAAACGGAGCCTTCAAGTAAACTGAGGTCGAGTCCATCATGAATAGTACTCATACTATGCCAACAACACATTACTAATTATCTTTACAGCTCACATGATCAACATATAGAACGAGGAGAGGTTGCCATAGGCTATGGATATAATTGCTTAGAATGTGCAGGATAGTTTAGATTGTGACTCTTTATTTCCTTCATGGAGGATTACTGATGGGTGAATCTCACAAAACATGTCAAGGTGGCTGCATATTGTGCATATTACAATTGCTTTTGATTTTGGGATGCAATTTGTCTTTATGTTTTTGTGAGATTGACCACAAAAAAAAAAAAAATCAGTCCCTTCATGTGCTTGTCCACTGCAAAGTTTTCAGTGTAGCTCGAAAGTTCCCCTGTCACTAGGGGTGCACCTTGTGCACAGCTATGGCATATGACACAGCGCTGCCCACATGGTTATTGCTCCTATAACAGCTCATTTCTATCAGTTCTTTTGTCTTTGAGTCATTATATTTCTCACAGATTTCTGCTCGTTCTAAATGAGATACAGATAAAGCAGCACAGTAAAGATTACATTAATATGAGTGCATTAGTGAGAGCGATTGCGTGTGTGAATTAATTCTGCCTGGCAGCGTCTCTCTACTAGTAGTGAAGCTGTGAGATTTAGTTATTAAGAAATATATGCTTGAACTTTTCAGTTTCTAAGCTATTTTATTGAGAAATCACAGAACAGTGTTGACAATACATTTCTGCTCTGAATGATTGTGCGCGCACGCGATCTGCGCGTGATGTACTGTACGAGCTACTGTATGTAGCCTATGTGTGTGCGTTACATTGCAGCAGCGCATTAGATTAGAACGGCGATTAACTTACCTGTACAATAAGCTGTTTAAAACGTGCATTCTCCCGTTCAATTTCGAGCATCCAGTAATATAATCACACGGAGCGCTTTCAGAGTATGCATTTATTTGTCATTTTAACTGTTTGGAAATGGAGCGTAAATGTGGAAGTCCATCAAAGATTTCTTATCCTGTTGCGCCCTCTATAGGACCAGCGACTAGTCGACGTCAAGCTTAAAGCGTCATGGCAGAGCATTGAAGTCGACTAGTCGGTGCAACCCCTACCGGTCACACACTTAATGATTTGTGAGAAATCACTGTGACCACAGAGACAAAGAACGAAAACGTTTCCCATGACCATTTCTCTGCTTCTCAAAACATCTGTTTTTCAGACAATGTTATTATTTGCATTTCATCATGCCTCTTAAATATTGCTTATACGATTGTGCTTTACATCTTCATTGTATTCTGATGTCTGTCGATCAGAGGTTGCTGGGTCATCATCTCTCTTGTGACGGACCCAGCACACATGCACTCACACTAACGCATACGTCGAATCCTAAAATGTGCTCTTTCTTGATAGTGAGCGAATACTCTCGGCACATTTACAGGAAATGCGTCCACCATCTTTCTTATGTGTATTCAGTAATGAATAGACCAACTATGGTGCTGAAAGTATACAATTATATGACTGTTTGTACATTTTTGAGACTTTGAGAAGTTTGCACTGTCTTACGTTTTATGGAGGATCATAAAGCAGTATGCTGTTTTCGTTTGCAATGGTGAATGAGATGCCAACATGCATGAGTTGGGGAAAAAAGCTACCTTAAGAGGTAAACAATTAGTTGCATTCACATGTATATAATTGCAAACTATTTACAGTGTTTGCGTTATTTTGATTTTGAAACATCACCTTCCTGTTTTCATGGTATCGTTTAACCGTATGTTGTTCCAAAAACTTGAGTACACTTCATTCTACTGGGTATTTTATGATAGGAACCAACGTTTGCCATGTTGTCAATACCACCATTGAGCTGTTTTGCATTGAGAGGATTTGATTTTACATGCAATTTTCTTTTATTTCTTCTCTCAGTTTAATGTTGAATAATTTTAAGAGTTCTTCTTGTAGACTTTGCTATCACCTGCCAAAATCTATTAATATAGTAGGCTATCTAAAGCTATCTATTAACAAAAATAATGTAAGTATAAATCTATAAATCTATAATGTAAATCTAAATATGCTTTTATTTCTTTGTTTTCATTTGAAACTGACTGTTTCTACATTATATTGACTCCACAGAGAGTGCAGTACGAATGTCAGTGGTGTATCTAGGAAAATCCAATGCCCTGCAGCCTTACAAGGGTCCTTAACATCGTCCACTTGAAGGTTGTCTTCTATTTGCATTGTTTCTACATGTTAGATGAAGTGGACAAGGCATGCGCATTAAATCAGTGATCTCTGCCCTCTGAACAGATCCGCCACTGCTGTTCAGGGTAACACCTGGTTACTGTATACTCTGTGTTATTTGTGTGTGTGTGTGTGTGTGTGTGTGTGTGTGTGTGTGTGTTCAATATTATTCATTTAATTTGTGGGACTAGAATGATATCCGTAGTGGAAGCGATAGTTATTTGTGATTTAAGGGTGTGTGTGTGTGTGTGTGTGTGTGTGTGTGTGTGTTCAATATGATTCATCTCATTTGTGGGACTAGAATGATGTCCGTTAGGCCTCATGAGAGGCTGGTGGAAGCGATAGTTATTTGTGATTTAAGGGAGGCTTGACTGAAAACATGAAATGAGAAAAGACAACACAAATAAATATGCTTGTATTTTTTCCTCATGTTGTTATTAGAAGAGATGTTCACCTTAGTAACAAAGTACAAATAGAGTATTAAAAATTATCGGTATATGATATCTATGGTGATTGTGCCTTTCACTGTTCTGCATGGTTTTCATGATGTGCCGACTGTTTCATCCACATGACATGGGCATCAGAGACCTATGCAAAATACTATGATGGGTTTCCAGCATCTTTGCAGAAATGCAGGTACAAGACAATAACAATAAATACTCAGGATGCAACTGCAACATTTACCTGTGTGCTTGTTCTTTATTCTGTCTTCATGCACATGACTTTAAAACACCTACAATGAATGTTACAATTAAATATGACTCAAACATAAACATATAAAAATGAATAAATATGGCAAGGGGCCGTATGTATAAAGCCGCTCAAAGTAAAAGTTTAGTCTTAAGTGTGTCAAAATTCTAAGAATTACGTAATTTTACTCTTATTCCTAGACTTAAGAATAAGAGTGATTCATAAAGGTTCCTAAGTGTTAAAAGAGGTCTCAGCTCCTGAATTATTTAAGAGAGCTGGAGAGGTCTCCTAACCTAGTTAGGAGTAATAAGATGGCAGCAAAGAGGAGACGACAAACACTTTCCAGCGAAAATATATTGGACTTATATGATAATATGGAGTTGATAAAACGATACAAACTTAATTGTAAAGATCAAAAAGTCGTTTTTGATAAAAACTTTAAAGTAAAAAATGTAATAACCTCTTCCACTCAACAAGTCAATGCTCTAACAGCAGAAATGAAAGTAGTAATTAATTTTTTTTGGCTGGAAAATTGGAAAAATGCAGCAATGCACCGGTGATGACACAGTAAGCAGGTTCTTACATATTGTGGCACTAACCCCACCAAATGCAACAGTGTTTTGATTTTTTTTTTTTATGACCCCACATTTCACTTAAACCGTTAAAATACAAAGGACAAAAAAACACTGACCAGTGTTGCCAACTGCTTTCAATTGAAAGTAGCTAAAACTGGTCACTTAATGTTGCTAGATGACCTCATAAAGGTGAGTTCACTGATCTATATTTATATAGATCAGTGAACTCGCCTTTATGACGTCATGGGAGAGTCTCGGAATGTAGATAACGTTTGTAATTGATTTTGTTGCTAGGCCTTTGAAAAAAGTCTCTAAAGGGATGCGGAAGTCACTAAATCTAGTGACAAAATCACTAAATTGGCACATTGACTACAACATACGTTATTTACATTTCATTGGTCCTCTTGTTTTTGCATGTGTTCATAATGTCTTTGTATGATAGCATGGCCAAAAATGATGACCGCAAAATTTGGCTTGTTTCATTGCATTATTATCACAAATAAAACAACTGACTAAGCAACTATGCAATATGCTTACAAAATCTTGCACATTTTTTTTTTAAATTAAGGATGAAAATATGTCAAATGTTCTAGGCCAGACATCACTTTTGGTCACTACTGTATGGCAGTTTATTGCATTTTCAACTGACCGCCAAACCATACTGCAAAAACAACTTTTGTGAGGATTGTGGGCTTTCCTGGAGTTACTGGAGCCGTTGATGGAACTCATGTTCACATCATTGCTCTAACTGTAAATGAGGAGACATACCATTAAACAAAGCATTAGTAATAATTTGTGATAATTTTGCACAATGCAAAGCATTTAAAAATACATTTAAATTAAAATATTTCAGTCTTAATTAAATGATTTTATTGTAGTTACATTAAATGATTGGTGTTGTGCTGCTGTGACTT